ATCAGTTGAATTAGTGCAGCACCGAGTAGCAAAAAGAGGCGTGGTCATTAAGGGGGGTAAATCCTCTGGAGCTCAAGTGGTTAAAAACGGGTGGACTATGTAACATGTTTTGAAGGTGAAGTTATGGGTGCTTAACCTGTGGCCCTCCAGCTGTTGTGGACCTACAAGTCCCATGAGGTATTGCAAGGCTGACAATTACAACCATGACTCCTAAACGCAGAGGAATGATGGGACTGAATTTGGATAGAGGGCTAGGACCACTGTCAGGTTTTTGAAGGCTGGCTGGGAAGATTCTTCATCTGGACCAAGGTAATCATACCAAAAGTGATGGGAAATCCAAAACTTTAAGATTTGGACCAGAACAGGAATAAGAAGGAAACCTTTTCCCTCACTTCCTGTTGTGTCCCTGAGATAGGGGGTTAAAATGGAGGGAAAAAGGGAAGTTCTACTTTAAGGACTGCTCCCCCCGCTCCCCATTAGGATTGGCACCTTTGGGGGGTGGGTACCCGAATTTGACAGGTACACACTCCCACTTCCGGTCCGATCGCCGAGGTTAGCCGCGTTTACAAGCGTTAGAAACGCTGATAAAATCTACTCCTGAACACAAGTTTGGTTCGTTCAAAAAAACGAATGTAAACTCAACGGCCTGTAAACGACTGGAAACTCAACTGCCTGTAAACGACTGGAAACTCAACTGCCTGTAAACGAATGTAAATTCAACGGCCTGTAAAACGACTGGAAACTCAACTGCCTGTAAACGTCTGGAAACTCAACGGCCTGTAAACAACTGGAAACTCAACTGCCTGTAAACGACTGGAAACACAACTGCCTGTAAACGAATGTAAACTCAACAGGCTGTAAACGACTGTAAACTCAACTGCCTGTAAATGACTGGAAACTCAACTGCCTGTAAACAACTGGAAACTCAACTGCCTGTAAACGACTGGAAACTCAACGGCCTGTAAACGACTGGAAACTCAACGGCCTGTAAACAACTGGAAACTCAACTGCCTGTAAACGACTGGAAACTCAACGGCCTGTAAACAACTGGAAACTTAACTGCCTGTAAACGACTGGAAACTCAACTGCCTGTAAACGAATGTAGACTCAACGGCCTGTAAACGACTGGAAACTCAACTGCCTGTAAACGAATGTAAACTCAACTGTCTGTAAACAAATGTAAAATCAACGGCCTGTAAACGACTGGAAACTCAACTGCCTGTAAACGACTGGAAACTCAACTGCCTGTAAACGACTGGAAACTCAACTGCCTGTAAACAACTGTAAACGACGATGTGTACATGCAGGGGCGGACTGACAACTCATGGGGCCCCCGGGCAATAGGGGATCATGGGGCCCCTGTGTCCTTGCCCAAACTCAAAAAAGCCTATGAAAAAGGTACCAGGGAATCTCATGGGGCCCCCTACTGACCCCGGGCCCTCAGGCAGTGCCCGAGTTTCCAAATGGTCAGTCCGCCCCTGTGTACACGGACACATAGGAAAACATTAGGGAGAGTTCAGGGGCTGCTGAAAAAAAACGCAGAAAAGCTCCTGAACGTCAGTTTATCAGCTGCAGTGTTCATGGATCCTTAGTGTTTTATAGCACAGTTATACTCCCACAAAATCCTCAAAAATGCCCATAAATGCCGGATAGCTGCGTTTTGTTGTGTTTTTCAGCTTTAATCAGCGTTAGAGCATTTTTGCAGCTAAAAAACTCTTTTTGAAACCCGCTAGCCCTGGGTTTTTTTTCCAGCCAGAAAACGTTGATTAAAGCCTATAGTGAAGGAAATGCGTATTTGCTCCCCTGCTGATTTTGAATGTTCGCCCCTCACAAAGAAATGATCGGTCTAAAAATCGAATGTTCGGTGTATTGTAACACTGAGAGACAGAATACCAACAACAAATTCAGCAGAAATGCGTCTAACAAATGACTGATCTGCATGTTCATGAGGGAAATAAGGATTTGATCCCCTATCATTCAGCAGGATTTCTGGCTCCCAGGTGTCTTTCATACAGGTAACAAGCTGAGATTAGAAGCAGTCTCTTAAAGGGAGTGCTGCTAATCTCATTTTGTTACCTGTATAAAAGACACCTGTCCACAGGAGCAATCAAACAATCAGATTCCAAACTCTCCACCATGGCAAAGACCAAAGAGCTGTCCAAGGATGTCAGGGACAAGATTGTAGACCTACACAAGGCTGGACTGGGCTACCAAACTATGGCCAAGCAGCTTGGTGAGAAGGTGACAACAGTTGGTGCAATCATTCACAAATGGAAGAAACACAAAACAAGTGTCAGTCTCCCTAGGTCTGGTGCACCATGCAAGATCTCACCTCGTGGAGTGTCAATGATCATGAGAACAGTGAGGAATCATCCCAGAACTACACGTGAGGATCTTGTCAATGATCTCCAGGCAGCTGGGACCACAGTCACCAAGAAAACAATTGGTAACACACTACGCCGACAAGGACTGAAATCCTGCAGTGCCCGCAAGGTCCCTCTGCTCAAGAAAGCACATGTCCAGGCCCGTCTGAAGTCTGCCACTGAACATCTGATGCAGAGGAAGACTGGTGGAAAGTGTTGTGGTCAGATGAGACCAAAATCCAGCTCTTTGGCATCAACTCACCTCGCCGTGTTTGGAGGAGGAGGAATGCTGCCTATGACCCCAAGAACACCATCCCAACTGTGAAAAAAGGTGGTGGAAACATTCTGCTTTGGGTGTGTTTTTCTGCTAACGGGGCAGGACAACTGCACCCATCAAGGGACGATGGACAGGGCAATGTACCACCAAACCTTGGGTGAGAACCTTCTTCCCTCAGCCAGGGCATTGAAAATGGGTGGTGGATGGGTGTTCCAGCATGACAATGACCCAAAACACACGGCCAAGGCAACAAAGGAGTGGCTCAAGAAGAAGCACATTAAGGTCCTGGAGTGGCCCAGCCAGTCTCCAGACCTTCATCCGATTGAAAATCTGTGGAGGGAGCTGAAAGTTCGAGTTGCCAAACGTCAGCCACCAAACCTTCATGACTTGGAGAGGATCTGCCAAGAGGAGTGGGCCAAAATCCCTCCTGAGATGTGTGCAAACCTGGGGGCCAACTCCAGGAAACGTCTGACCTCTGTGATTGTCAACAAGGGATTTGCCACCAAGTACTAAGTCATGTTTTGTGAAGGGGATCAAATACTTATTTCCCTCATGAACATGCAGATCAGTCATCATTTGTTAGACGCATTTCTGCTGAATTTGTTGTTGCTATTCTGTCTCTCAGGGTTACAATACACAGAACATTCGATTTGTAGACCGATCATTTCTTTGTGAGGGGCGAACATTCAGAATTAGCCGGGGATCAAATACTTATTTCCTTCACTGTATGTGTGTATGGATGCATAGGATAACATGCTGCGGAGTTTACTGGTTGTAGAAAAAAAAAACACCAGAAGTCAAAAACAGCCACTGTAAAAACGTTCAGTGTGCATGAGGACTGAAAATGGCCTAATGATAACATCTGAGAAAAAGTCCACAGCGATGGCAAGCATGGCACGTGTTCCTGGAATAAAAAATAAATAAAATGAAAAAGGAGAAGTGATTAAAACAAAAATCCCATTGGTGCAAATAAATAAAAAAAAATACATAAATAAAAATAAATAAAATGAAAGAGGAGAAGTGATGAAAACAAAAATCCCATTAGTGCAAATAAATAATAATAATAAAAAAAAATTATTAAAATAAATAAAATGAAAAAGGAGAAGTGATTAAAACAAAAATCCCATTGGTGCAATTAAATAAAAAAATAAAAATAAATAAAATGAAAAAGGAGAAGTGATTAAAACAAAAATCCCATTGGTGCAAATAAATAATAAAAAAATAAAATTAAAATAAATAAAATGAAAAAGGAGAAGTGATTAAAACAAAAATCCCATTGGTGCAAATAAATAATAATACAAAAAATAAATAAGATGATTAAAACAAAAAAGGAGAAGTGATTAAAACAAAAATCCCATTGGTGCAAATAAATAAAAAAAATAAATAAAATGAAAAAGGAGAAGTGATTAAAACAAAAATCCCATTGGTGCAAATAAATCAAAAAATAAATAAAATGAAAAAGGAGAAGTGATTAAAACAAAAATCTCATTGGTGCAAATAAATAAAAAAATAAAAATAAATAAAATGAAAAAGGAGAAGTGATTAAAACAAAAATCCCATTGGTGCAAATAAATAATAAAAAAACAAATAAAAATAAATAAAATGAAAAAGGAGAAGTGATTAAAACAAAAATCCCATTGGTGCAAATAAATAATAAAACAAATAAAATTAAAATAAATAAAATGAAAAAGGAGAAGTGATTGAAAACAAAAATCCCATTGGTGCAACTAAATAAATAAAAAAATAAATGAAAAAAAATGAAAAAGGCAACTAAATAAATAAAAATAAAAAAGGAGAAGTGATTAAAACAAAAATCCCATTGGTGCAAATAAATAATAAAATAAATAAAATGAAAAAGGAGAAGTGATTAAAACAAAAATCCCATTGGTGCAAATAAATTAAAAAATAAAAATAAATAAAAATAAATAAAATGAAAAAAGAGAAGTGATTAAAACAAAAATCCCATTGGTGCAAATAAATAATAAAAAAAATAAAATTAAAATAAATAAAATGAAAAAGGAGAAGTGATTAAAACAAAAATCCCATTGGTGCAAATAAATAATAAAAAAAAAAAATTATAAAAATAAAATAAAATGAAAAAGAAGTGATTAAAACAAATATCCCATTGGTGCAAATAGCCAACAATTACACACTGCAGCTTGCGTATTGTCAATACAACAAGAAAAACAGGAGCTCAGATACCATATGATGCCCCTTTGTAGAGTGCAGCCCTTAGGCGGATGCCTAGTTGGCCCGAGGGCTACACACAGATTTTGAGTTGTAGAGAGGCAGATGTTGCTGGTAGCAGATGTCTGTGTGCTGCACAAGGTTCATGGCAGTCACGGGGTAATGATGCCGAGAGGCACTTGTAGCGGGTACCTTTTCACGGTAACGCAGCTGATAGTCAAGGACCTTGCCGTTTGGCTGTTCCGGTTCGGGCCAAGATAGGGTGATACTCTGAGTGGACCGGCTGACTTGGTGTATTATGGGCACAGCAGATGGCACTAGTAGGGAAAAAAAAAAAAGAATTAGACCTTTAAAAGACCAGGAGGGGGAGAGAGAGAGAAGGAAGAGACATAGAAAGGTACGAGAGATAAAAATAATCCAAAGATGGGAAAAAAAAAACATTGAGCTGGAACATATTTTTCTGTGTATCACAAAAACAGCGAGAATGCAATAACACAGGCGCTGTGCTCCGCGCTGTGACATGTGACCTCGGGGAGGGCGACGCTTGGCCGAAGCTGTCACTTTGAATTTGGGTCACCGCATCACCGCCTCTTGTGAGACCCTCACGTAGGATACAGAGAAAGCGTCACAAAGACAAATTCGGTTAGAGTGCAGGGCTTGGGGGAGAGAGAGAGAGGGGAGGAAAACACAGCTAAAAGGGAAAAGATTGGAGCAAAAGGAAAAAAAAAAAAGAAAGGTAATAAAAAATAAAAAAAAATCACTAATACCCCCTATAAGCTTTAACATCAAACGGTTTCAATAATTATCTATTACAAATCAATGCCTCGGGAATATATGTTTTCTTTCTTTCTTTATTATAACCTGGGCTAAAAAAATAAATAAATAAATAAAATTAAAAATGAGAAGTGATTAAAACAAATATCCCATTGGTGTAAATAAATAAAAAATAAATAAATAAATAAAATGAAAAAGGAGAAGTGATTAAAACAAATATCCCATTGGTGCAAATAAATGAAAAATAAACAAATAAATAAACAAATAAATAATACAATGAAAAAGGAGAAGTGATTAAAACAAAAATTCCATTGGTGCAAATAAATTGAAAAAATAAATAAATAAATAAATAAATAAAATGAAAAAGGAGAAGTGGTTAAAACAAAAATCCCATTGGTGCAAATAAATGAAAAATAAATAAATAAATAAACAAATAAATAATACAATGAAAAAGGAGAAGTGATTAAAACAAAAATACCATTGGTGTAAATAAAAAAAAATAAATAAATAAATAAAATGAAAAAGGAGAAGTGATTAAAACAAATATCCCATTGGTGCAAATAAATTGAAAAAATAAATAAATAAATAAAATGAAAAAGGAGAAGTGGTTAAAACAAAAATCTCATTGGTGCAAATAAATTGAAAAAAATAAATAAAAAATAAATAAAATGATAAAGGAAAAGTGATTAAAACAAAATATCCCATTGGTGCAAATAAATGAAAAATAAATAAATAATAAAATGAAAAAGGAGAAGTGATTAAAACAAAAACTCCATTGGTGCAAATAAATTGAAAAAAAAAAAATAAATACAATAAAAAAGGAGAAGCGATTAAAACAAAAATCCCATTTGGAAATAAATTGAAAAAAAAAAAAAAAAAAAAATAAATAAAATGATAAAGGAGAAGAGGTTAAAGCAAATATCCCATTGGTGCAAATAAATGAAAAATAAATAAATAATAAAATGAAAAAGGAGAAGTGATTAAAACAAAAATCCCATTGGTGCAAATAAATTGAAAAAAAAAAATAAAATGATAAAGGAGAAGTGATTAAAACAAATATCCCATTGGTGCAAATAAATGAAAAATAAATAAATAAAATGAAAAAGGAAAAGTGATTAAAACAAATATCCCATTGGTGCAAATAGCAAAGAATTGCAGACTGCAGCTTGCGTATTGTCAATACAACAAGAAAAACAGGAGCTAAAATACCATATGGTGCCCCTTTGTAGAGTGCAGCCCTTAGGTGGACACCTAGTTGGCCCGAGGGCTACGCTCAGATTTTTGTGTTGTAGCTTTAACATCAAACGTTTTAAATAATTATCTATTACAAATCAAATAATTATCTATTACAAATCAATGCTTCGGAATGTATGTTTTCTTTCTTTCTTTATTATAACCTGGGCTAAAAAAAATAAAAATAAAAAATAAATAAAATGAAAAAGGAGAAGTGATTAAAAAAAAAAAAAAAAAGATTAAAAAAACATTAAAATCTCTATAAGGCTTTAGAATCTTGCTTCAACAGTTTTCAGTACTGATCTGTTACAAATCAATGCCTCGGGAATGTATAAAGTTTTTCCTTTCTTTCTTTATTATAACCAAAAAATTAAATAAAATACAAACTAAAAATTAAATACATTGAAAAAATGAGATATGATTCAAACAACAAAACTGTTTAAAATCTTCTAACAGTTGTGAGACTTTTCCTGTAATAAAGATTGCTCACTGCTGCTCTCGCTTCTTATGCGGGGGGACTGGTCTTGTTTCTGCCCCCTCTTGTAGTGTTCTACAGGCAGCCTGTAGTGGGTGGGGCCTGGTGCTCTATTTATACCCCGGTTCACATATCCGCGTTCCTGCGGTCCGCGTTTTGCGCGGGCACGAGAGCCCATTCATTTGAATGGA